TTGTATCTTTTACAAAGTAATATAGTGCTTTATTGCAAAATAAATCCCCTCCTAAATTAAAGGATCCTATTAGTTTTTCTAACATCACTTGTCATATTGGTAATGTCTTCATAGATATGGGTGATTTGAAAGTTACTAACATTACTTTGCAGATGGCAGACCGTTCTGTTAAATACCCCTTAGGTATTTTAGAGGATGTTCCTGTCAAAGTTGGTAAATTTTTTATCCCTGTTGATTTTGTTGTATTAGACATGGCTACGGATACACAAATTCCCATTATATTAGATAGACCTTTTCTCCATACTGTAGGAGCCATTATTGATGTTAAAAATGGAAAACTAACCCTTTCTATAGGAGACGATAATATCACTTTTAATTTAGGGAAGGTTTTAAAAGGACTTATGCTAGAAGAATATTGTTGTTTAATTGATGTCATTGATATAATGGATGATATTTGTGAAGAAAGCTTACCACAGGTTCTTGCAAGGGATCCCTTGGAGGAAGTTCTTTATGGAGATTTATCTGTAGGTGATGCAAGCATTTGGAGTAATGACGTGGATGCTATTGAAAAAGCTCTTTCAGTAGAAGAGCTTGATCCTAAAGAGACCATGAAGGTAGTGAAATTAGTTCAGGAATCAAAACCTGAAGAGGTCAAGAAACCTGAACTAAAACCTCTCCCTTCTCATTTGAAATATGTTTTTCTTGATGAGCAGGAACTATACCCTGTGATCATTAGTACTGCACTTAATGACCCACAAACTTCCCAACTTCTAGAGGTTCTTCGAACCCACAAAAGGGCAATTGGGTACATTATTGATGATCTCAAGGGTATTAGCTCTGATTTTTGTATGCATATGATACATTTAGAGGACAACTACAAGTCATGTATTCAACCCCAGAGGAGGTTGAATCCTAAAATGCAAGAAGTAATCAAGAATGAGGTGATGAAATTACTTGATGCAGGTATTATCTATCCTATTTCTGACTCAAAGTGGGTAAGTCCTATTCAAGTGGTTTCTAAAAAGGGTGGGATGACTGTGATTAAAAAATGATAAAAATGAATTGATTCCCAATAGAATTGTTGCAGGGTGGCGTATGTGCATTGATTATCAAGATTAAATATCACCACTAAAAAGGACCACTTTCCTCTCCCTTTTACTGATCAAATTCTTTGAGAGGTTGGTTAATCATAAGTTCTTTTGTTATTTGGATGGGTATTCGGGATTTTTCCAAATTCCAATTCACCATGAAGATCAAGAAAAACCACCAAAAAAAGAAGATTGGCACCGCCCTAAGGCGACGGGATGTTGAGGGAAGAGTATTGACACCGATTCAAAAAAACCGGTGGGAAAAATAATAATACCACCGGTTTGAACTGGTGGATTTCATTTTAAAAAAACCCTTTTATAGACCGTAGCCCTTATTCCCTTAACCCTAAAGTTGATCTCCTCTCTCATCTACTCCTCTCTTCTCCTCCCTCTCCGCCTCTCATCCTTCTTTCTCCTCCTTCATTCTCTTCGATCTCCTTCTCCATCCTTCATTCTTTTTTATCTCCTTCTCCATCCTTCATTCTTTTCGATCTCCTTCATTCCGCCTGCTCTCTATCTATATCCTTGATAGGCTGTCGTCGAGCCTACCAAAGATAATGATTCCTATCTTGGTCTCACTAACAATAGTAAGGGTAAGAAAGGGTCAAACCCAAGAGAGGCGTTGAATCAACCACCGAGTACTACCGTTTAAATAAGCTAAATGAATTCTAAATTGGGTTGGTTTTGAGTAACTTCTTCTAATTCAATTCAACTAAAGCTAAGAGGAGATTAACAATATTAAGAGGAATCTAGGGCTCGGGTTATACCACTCAACTTCATCACAAATCACAATTAGCATGCTACAATCAAGGTAAATTAATGGGACAAATTAGGGGAAGTCATCTAAAGCACCCAACTACTCTCTCAAGCTAGAGGGATTACTTGAATCGTGAATACAACCTACTCTCGTGGTTACATAGCATAAAACAAGTGTTAAAGCATAATCACGATGACATAAACATTCCCTTGACCGGTAATCCCTATTCTCATGGCATTTCGGGTCAATTAAGCATAAGGGAGCTAACTCAAGTTCATCTCTCGATCCTTCGTTGAGAAAGCTTGGATAAATAGTTCTAGCAATGGCCATATACAAGAACTAAGCAATTAAACCACTTAAGCTCAACTAATCATCATCCCACAACAACCAAATTAGCACATGCAACAAGTAATTAGTGACTACATTGAGGGTTTTACCCAAACCCTAGAATTTAGACTACTCACAATCATGGAGGTTAAATCAATTAGAGGTTTCAAGCAATTCATGAACAAGTTCAAACTAAGGATTAAGCTAATTAAAAATCTAAGCATGCAAGAATTAAGCAAGTAATCAACAACAAATTAAAGAGAAGTAGAAAAGATGAGTAAGAAATGGTTACTATGAAGCTTCAAAGTGAGCAACAATGGTGGATTTTGTCTTCTACAATGATTGAATTTGAATGCTTCCAACCTAAAAATTAAGAACTAACTAATGATTTGAGAATTTAATGTTCTAAGACTACAAACTAAGAGGAAAGCTCTAAAAAAACTGCATCCCCGTACAAATGAGCTCTAAAGGGGTATTTATATGACCCCCAAATAAAAAGGACGGAGAAAACAAGGAATGAGTTCGACTGCAGGTCTGCACGGACGTGCCAGATTTGGCACGGACGTGCAAGGCTAAGCACGGCCGTGCCAAGTTTGGAACGGACGTGCAGGAGGGCCAAAATGGAGGTAGAAACTTCTGCCAAGGTCTGCACGGACGTGCAGCTTTTGGCACGGACGTGCAGACTTGCACGGACGTGCTATCATCTTGCACGTCCGTGCAGGATGCCCTGCCTAGACTGTTTAACTTTGGGAAGCTGTAACTTCTACGTTTCTTGTCGGAAATGGACTTATGACCAGTCGTTGGAAAGCTCTTGAGACGAACTTTAATCTCCAATTTGAATCGCTTCAAAAAGCTGATAAAATCAAAAGTTATGGTTGGTTGAAGTTGACGCTTACGCAAACGACCTTTCAAGGTTCTCCAAAAGCTTTTCATTTCCCTTTAAGGCATTCCTCCTTATTCCTCCATGGCTCTATCAACCAAGCTTGCCCTTATCCTTGCTCACTAATGCTTGATCATGTCCATAGTGCTAAAAATAGCTACATTACATCAAAAACACAAACAACCGGTGAAGCATGGATGGTACAAAATTTGCATAAAAATAGGATAAAAAATGAACTTTGATGTCGATTAATAACGAAAACAAGGTTCAAAAGTACCCTAAAATCATGCCAAATAACAAGTTATCAAATCCCCCCAAGCTAAGCTTTTGCTCGTCCTCGAGCAAAACAAACATGTCGAATCAAAGGAGGAAAACGACTTGCTAACATCAATCCAAGGAAAGACAACAAGGAGGAAGCATAAATACACAAATCCGCATGGTGACAGCCATCATCACTTTTAGCACAAGTGAGAAGCAATTTAAACCTCTAAGTCGCCTTAGAGGACGAGTTTTTATCTCGTGAGGGTTTCCATTGAGCTTAACCCACAACTCACACAAACCACAACAAAACTATCAAACTACACAAGTTCCGATGTTATTATCACCCAAGTCAACTCATCGAGATATAAATCGCAAGCAAGACAAATGAGCGACTTTCAAGAATAACCAATCATACAAATGTGCACATGAGTTGGGGGTAAAGAGGAGGACTAAGCAAGATTGCACTAGGATACTTCTTTAGACCTTTTACTAGTTCATTAGAGCACACCTAGATATTCCAAAGTTTCAACAAGCCCTTTTTCGGTTTTAAATCTCAAAATGCTAGTCCACTTACCAAAATGCACACCCAAGGCCTCTTAACTACACTCTAACTCGGGAATTTCATAAGAAACAATGATGTAAACAAGGTGTGGGAGGCACCCACTAGTTGACCTCTAAAGAAGAAAATTTTGATAATTTTCGAGAGTCTCCCTTTTTATTCATTGTTCTATGCTCTTCTTTTCTTCTTTTTTTTTTCAACTTTCAATGCTCTCGCCTCTTTTAACTGTGAGCGGCTCTTTCTTTTATTAAGAACATGTGACTTATTATGCCACTTATTACACATGATACAAATATAACCAATTCCCTAATAGAGTTTCATTTCGGGGAGGAAAGGAGGCACATTAAGGGCACAAGGGACCGCAATTCAATTCAAACATATCCTACTTGAGCGAATTAGACAATATCCTATACTGGGTGTGCAATTGAGCATTCATTGGCTTTCATTTCATATACACCAATGCAATCAAGATTAATAGACCTCTAAATGACCCCATCTCTTGCATACACCCTTCTAAGAGAACTAGTACTCATCGCTCAAGAGTCAAGCAAGAAAAACATATAAGCATTGCCATTTGAGTCTCAACCTTGGGCAAATTTTTATTTTTTTTTTCATTTTTCAATTTTTTCATCATTTTTTTTTTTGAAGAGAAAGCGAAAATATTCACATTACTAACTAGAGAGGGAACACTAATATTCACATGACAAGAGGTTTGGATTTCAAGGAAGCTAAATTGGATTAAGGGCCTTGGATATTAGGGAAATGAAACAACCAAAACAAACGCAACCAAACAAACCACCATGTCAAGAAGGCATGCAAATGACTCCCCCCAAGTTATCATAAACATTGTCCTCAATGTTAAGCAATAAAAACTCATAAAAAAAAAGGAGAAAGAAGACTAACTCAAGGATCGGGTCTTCTTCGACGCTTGAACCTCCTTGGTACCTTTGTTCCTGTTGGTTGTTGTTGGAAGACATGCACTTTGTGCTGTTTTTTTTTTTTCTTCTTTTGTTTTTTCTTTTTTTTTCTTTTCTTTTTTTTAAGTTAATCCACTACAAAAATATTCGGGTTGCCTCTCGGAAGCGCTTCTTTAATGTCACTAGCTTGACGACATTGCGCTATCCAAAATTAGGGAGGGTTAAGGCACACCTTTTTGACCCATCTCATTGTTCCCACACACTTTCCATTTTCCTTAGGCAAAATAATCACATTGCTATCATCACTAGAAATGCAACCAAACATCTTGTCTATCAACTTGATCTTGTTTTTCTTTTTCTTCTTGGCCCTCTCTTGCTTTTTCACCTCCGGAGCATGAGTCGATTCATCTTGTGACTCCTCCATGTCTTCTTTCAAAATATTAACCAAAACATCAACCCGATGAACTTGTTTAACCATGGGGTCATTCAACAATTCCAGAAATGAGAAAGAGATTCTTTCATGCCCAACATGTAAGGTAAGCCGCCCTTGTTTCATGTCAATATTAACACCCGCGGTTTTCAAAAAGGGCCTACCCAATATGAGAGGAATTTTGAAATCCTCATCCATCTCCTTGATTACAAAATCACAAGGCACAAGAATCTTCCCCACTTGAATTGGGATGTCCTTCAAGACTCCCAATGGGACTTTAACCGAGCGGTCGGCTAGTTGGATTGACATTTTGGTGGGGCTAATCTCCCCAAGATTTAATCTTTTTTCCATAGAGAGAGGCATAAGGCTAACACTAGCCCCAAGATCACACAAAGCATTTGTTGATTCAAGATCTCCAACCTTAACCGGTATAGCAAAACTACCGGGGTCACCAAACTTCTCGGGAAGCTCATTTTGAGGAATAGCACTTATCTCCGTTGGAAGAGAGATAGAATCACTCTCCTCAAGCCTACTCTTGTTAGAAAGAATATTTTTCAAAAACTTTGCATATGTAGGCATTTGAGACAAAGCATGGAGAAGTGGAATGTTTGATTGAAGTCCTTCCATTTCATCAAGGAACTTAGAAAGTTTCTCATTTAGCTTCTTCTCTATCATTCTATGAGGGAATGGAATATGAGGCTCATATGCTCTCAATGGAGCTTGACTCTTCACTTCTCCCTCATCTCTCTTTGAGGCACCCTCATCACTCATTTTTAACCTTCCTCTCGCCTCCTCACTCACTTCATTTTCAAACTCACTTTCATCTACCCAACTATCTCCCTCATCTCCCTTTTTGGCAACATTTTCTCTCATAATTGGAGTTTCATACCCCCCTTCCATAATCAAGGTGATTGATTTCGCTTGCTCTTTTGGATTCATTACTGTTGTGCTTGGAAATTGACCACCGGGGTTAGAGGTGCACCCAACTTGTTGTGCAATTTGAGATAATTGAATTTCAATCATCTTGTTGTGTGCTTGGAGTTGTTGAATTGAGCTACTAACTTCCCCATTGATCTTGATTTGTTGGGTCATGAAGGTTTCCAAAACGGATTCAATGTTGGATTTTGGAGGAGGGGTTTGATTATATTGGGGTCTTTGTTGGACATTGTCTCTTTGATTGGGGTGGTGATAGGGAGCTTGTTGTTGTGGAGGGGGTTGATTGTAAGGAGGAGCTTGGTTGTAATTGTTTTGAGGAGGGGGAGCTTGATTGGGTTGTTTCCACCCAAAATTTGGATGTTGTTTCCAACCTTGGTTAGAAGTTTGGGAGTAAGGATCATTCCTACCAAGTGAAGCCACATGCTCCGTTGTAGTGTTGCAATAGGATGCCAAGTGGTCATTTCCTTCACAAGTATCACAAGACATGACTTGTGGGGAGGAGCTACCGGGCACATTGTTCACTTGATCTAGCTTTCGAGCTAACATATCAACCTTTGAAGCAATAAGATCTATTGCTTCAAGATCATGCTTACCTCCCTTCTTGGGTTGACCTTGTCTTTTATCACCTCCATAAGCATAATGCTTAGCCACTTCCTCAATCATTTTGTAGGCCTCGTCAACCGATAGCTTTTTAAGGCTACCTCCGGCTCCCGAATCAAGGTTGGCCCTTGAGGTAGGAGTAAGACCATCATAGAAGCTTTGAACTATGATCCATGAGGTGAAACCGTGGTGAGGGCATGCTCTAGTATAATCTTTGAACCGCTCCCATGCTTCACTCAAAGTTTCATCAACCTCTTGGTTGAAGTTTGTGATCTTCCGTCTTAATTCATCGGTTTTCTCGGGAGGGCAATACTTCCCAAGAAAAGCTCTATTCACCTCATCCCAAGTACTCAACGATCCCTCTTCAACCGTTCTCAACCAATGCTTTGCTTTGTCTCGAAGGGAGAATTGAAACATGTGCATCCGAATAAACTCTTCTGAAATGTTGTTTTGCTTGATAAGTACACAATTCAAGAAAGTTGTCCAAATGAGCAAAAGGACACTCATAAGGACTACCCCCAAATTGATCGCTTTGAATCATGCGGATGAGTTGAGGTGAAAGGTCAAAGTTGTTTGCATTCGTGGTGGGAAGACGAATGCCACTCCAAAGTTGGAATGCGTTGGGGTGGTCATAGTCTCTTAACAATGGTTGAGGAGGATTCTCTCCCATGTTATCTTCTTCGTTAGCTCCAAAAACCTCTTCCGGATCGGAATCCGAATATACAATGGAAAACTCGGGTGTGCCTTGCAAGAGTCTCCTCACGTTTCTCAAAATCCTATTTAGCTCTGGATCAACGGGAATAAGCGGTGATTTCTTACTCTTTCGTGTCATGCAAAGTCAAACAAAGCTAAGAAAAACGTTAGCAATGACTATCGCAAGTTAAACACACATAAACAAAAATTAAGGTAAGAAAACTACTATACATATACACACATCTAGTCTCATTCAACAATAATACATTCAATGTGACTTTGCCTCCCCGGCAACGGCGCCAAAATTTGATAGGCTGTCGTCGAGCCTACCTAAGATAATGATTCCTATCTTGGTCTCACTAACAATAGTAAGGGTAAGAAAGGGTCGAACCCAAGAGAGGCGTTGAATCAACCACCGAGTACTAACGTTTAAATAAGCTAAATGAATTCTAAATTGGGTTGGTTTTGAGTAACTTCTTCTAATTCAATTCAACTAAAGCTAAGAGGAGATTAACAATATTAAGAGGAATCTAGGGCTCGGGTTATACCACTCAACTTCATCACAAATCACAATTAGCATGCTACAATCAAGGTAAATTAATGGGACAAATTAGGGGAAGTCATCTAAAGCACCCAACTACTCTCTCAAGCTAGAGGGATTACTTGAATCGTGAATACAACTTACTCTCGTGGTTACATAGCATAAAACAAGTGTTAAAGCATAATCACGATGACATAAACATTCCCTTGACCGGTAATCCCTATTCTCATGGCATTTCGGGTCAATTAAGCATAAGGGAGCTAACTCAAGTTCATCTCTCGATCCTTCGTTGAGAAAGCTTGGATAAATAGTTCTAGCAATGGCCAAATACAAGAACTAAGCAATTAAACCACTTAGGCTCAACTAATCATCATCCCACAACAACCAAATTAGCACATGCAACAAGTAATTAGTGACTACATTGAGGGTTTTACCCAAACCCTAGAATTTAGACTACTCACAATCCATGGAGGTTAAAGCAATTAGAGGTTTCAAGCAATTCATGAACAAGTTCAAACTAAGGATTAAGCTAATTAACAATCTAAGCATGCAAGAATTAAGCAAGTAATCAACAACAAAGTAAAGAGAAGTAGAAAAGATGAGTAAGAAATGGTTACTATGAAGCTTCAAAGTGAGCAACAATGGTGGATTTTGTCTTCTACAATGATTGAATTTGAATGCTTCCAAGCTAAAAATTAAGAACTAACTAATGATTTGAGAATTTAATGTTCTAAGACTACAAACTAAGAGAATAGCTCTAAAAAAAATTACATCCCCGTACAAATGAGCTCTAAAGAGGTATTTATATGACCCCCAAATAAAAAGGACGGAGAAAACAAGGAATGAGTTCGACTGCAGGTCTGCACGGACATGCCAGATTTGGCACGGACGTGCAAGGCTAAGCACGGCCATGCCAAGTTTGGCACGGACGTGCAGGAGGGCCAAAATGGAGGTAGAAGCTTCTGCCAAGGTCTTCACGGACGTGCAGCTTTTGGCACGGACGTGCAGACTTGCACGGACGTGCTATCATCTTGCACGTCCGTGCAGGATGCCCTGCCTAGACTGTTTAACTTTGGGAAGCTGTAACTTCTACGTTTCTTGTCGGAAATGGACTTGTGACCAGTCGTTGGAAAGCTCTTGAGACGAACTTTAATCTCCAATTTGAATCGCTTCAAAAAGCTGATAAGATCAAAAGTTATGGTTGGTTGAAGTTGACGCTTACGCAAACGACCTTTCAAGGTTCTCCAAAAGCTTTTCATTTCCCTTTAAGGCATTCCTCCTTCTTCCTCCATGGCTCTATCAACCAAGCTTGCCCTTATCCTTGCTCACTAATGCTTGATCATGTCCATAGTGCTAAAAATAGCTACATTACATCAAAAACACAAACAACCGGTGAAGCATGAATGGTACAAAATTTGCATAAAAATAGGATAAAAATGAACTTTGATGTCGATTAATAACGAAAACAAGGTTCAAAAGTACCCTAAAATCATGCCAAATAACAAGTTATCAATCCTTCATCTCCTTCATTCTTGTCACCTTCATTCATCCTTCATCTCCTTCATTCTCATAACAACAAAACCACCACCAAGACCACCGCCGCCACCACCACCACCACTAACCAATGCCGCAACAACAACAACACCAACACCGACAGTACGATGACATCACCAACAACATTTGGTTTTTTGGGTTTGATTATTCGAGGTTAGGATTCTGAGTTTAATTGATTTTGTAATTGTTGTGTTTAATTGATTTTCTGGGTTTAATTCAAAATATGCCTTGATTTTGGAATTTTCTGAGTTTCTGGGTTTAATTGATTTGTAATTGCTGGTTGTAATTGATTTTGGAATTTTATGGGTTTAATTGATTTTCGAAATTGTTGTGTTTAATTGATTTTAATCGATTTTCTTGGTTTATTAGGTGATTTTTGGGTTTGTTTTTTTAAATTATTTTGAGTTCATGCATGTATTTTCTGAGTTCTTGAAATTTCTGGGTACGTGCATGAGTGTTCTTGTTTTTTTTTCGCAGCTTATAATGTGATTTTTATGAATTTAAATTTGGTGTTTTAATCGATGCAGGTATTGTTTATGACTCCACATAGAAGAATCAAGATGTTGATTTTGGGATATTAATTTAGTTGTTGTAATTTTTTTTTTATGTTGTAATTTTTTTTTATGTTGTAATTTTTTTTGGATTTTTATGTCGTAATTTTTTTTTGGTATTGTACAATAATAATTTAATGATAATTATAATTCTGATTAAATTTCGGTTTATTATGACAGTGATGTTGCGTTGAATTTAATTGTTAGATTATATTTCTTTTGAAAAAAACAAACAAAAAAAATTAAATTTTTTTTCAAAAATAAATAACATAAAATGGCACCGGTTAACCGGTGCCAATTTGCTTTAATTTTAAAGTGCCAATTTGCTTTAATTTCAAAAAAAAAAGTCAGGGAATATCCATCGGTTAACCGGTGGCAATACTTGTTTTTGCCACCAGTTTTGAACCGATGGCTTTTAAAGGGAGAATTGCCACCCCCCCCCCCCCCCAAATGCCTAGCGGTTCAAAACCTGTGGCAAGGGGGGTTTTGAACCGGTAGGAAATTGCCTTTTTCTACTAGTGTACATTTACATGTCCTTATGGTACTTTTGCATATCATAGAATGCCCTTTGGTTTATGCAATGCCCCTGCTACCATTCAAAGTTACATGATGAGTATCTTTTTTTTATTTCATAGAGTCTATCATGGAAGTACTTATGGATGATTTTAGTGTGTATGGGTCTTCATATGATGCATGCCTTGTAAATCTCGCTAAAATATTAAAAAGATGTGAAGAATGCAACTTAGTATTAAATTGGGAAAAGTGCACTTTATGGTGACAGAGGGAGTAATCCTTGGTCATATTGTATCTGATAAGGGTATACGGGTAGATAAGGCTAAGATTTCTGTGATTGAGCAATTGCCTCCTCCAGTCAATGTTAAGGGGGTTAGAAGTTTCTTAGGTCATGCGGGTTTTTATCGGTCGCTATATCAAATATTTTTCTAAAATTGTTGAACCACTAGCTCAGCTTTTACTCAAGGATGCCCCATTTGATTTTACTGACGAATGTCTTGAGGCTTTTCACAGGTTAAAGCAAGCATTGATATCGGCACCCATCATATGTGCACCCGATTGGACTTTCCCTTTCGAGATCATGTGTGATGCAAGTGATTTCGCATTAGGTGATGTGCTAGGACAAAGAAAGAACAAAGTTTTACATGCTATTTATTATGCAAGTAAAACTTTGGATGAAGCCCAAGTCAACTATGTCACTACGGAGAAGGAGTTTCTTGCTGTTATTTATGCCTTAGAAAAATTTAAATCATATCTAATTGGTTCTAAACTCATTGTTTCTACTGACCATGCAACTTTGAAGTATTTAATTGCCAAGGCAAAATCAAAGCCTAGGCTCCTCCATTGGGTTCTCTTGCTCCAAGATTTTGATGTGGAGATTAAGGATAAAAAAGGTGCAGAGAACGTTGTGGCAGACCACTTGTCACGTATCAGGTATGATGAGGGTAAGAATTCTCTCCCTAAAGATAATTCTTTCCCTGGTGACCATTTGTATGCAGTTGTAGAGCAACACCCTTGGTATGCAGATTATGAAAATTATTTGGTGGGTGGTACTCTACCCCCTGACTTGTCCTACCAACAGAAAAAGAAGTTCCTTTATGATGTTAAACATTATTTTTGGGATGTTCCTTTTTTGTTTCGTGAGTGTGCAGATGGATTATTTCGCAGGTGTGTTCCCAAATGGAAAGTTCACGGTGTTCTTACTAGTTGTCACAACTCACCGTATGGAGGACATCATGGTCCCACCAAAACGATTGTAACACCCCCGATTTACTAACCAATAATAAATAAGAATTAAAGGAAAAATAAACAACCTTTAAATAAAATAGCGGAAGCATACACCTAAATCGGAGGTATTACCGCCACACTCAACAACCTGTCAAGTGTTAAGGCTTACAAAATCCCAATAATTACAACCCAATAAACTAAGTGAGATATTTATACAACTTTACAAACTTGATATAAAAACACTAATCGATCACTTGAGCTCCTTTAGCTACGATTACTTGATCAACCTGCTAAAACAATCTTGACTGCTCACCATTAAGGACAAATTCCAAAATAGA